GGTCTTCGTGACAATCGGAGCTCCAGAATCAGGTTGTGGGTGAGAAAAGCTTTTCTCTAGACTTCCTGCCCTCTGGATCTGCTGCTGTTCCTTTGGCCTCTCTGAGAAACGCGCTCGTTTTGCTGCTTTCATCAGATTGAAGAGGTTCCCTCTATCAGACTCGCTCATCTGAGTTGGTCATGATGCAGGATCGCTGCTCGCTCTCTCATCCATCCTGCTCACACTCTCTGACGGAAAAGCCCCGAATCTGAATGTGACTCTGGAGGGAAAAGCGGTTAGCTCTACTCCGTGAACTCTGGTGAGCAAAGGTCCTCTTTTCCAGACTGGATCTGTCCTCAGCTGATCAGAACCAAAGCGTTGGATCTTTAATCTCCTGCGTTGTTCTGAAGCAGCATCTTAATCAGCTCTCCTGCTTTGTTTCTATTGCAGCTGTTAGCTAAACACGGCTAAAGAAAACCTGCTACCACTTCAGGATCATCCATCAGCTGGGACTGATTCATCGTGTGTTCTTCACCACCTGGACCTGGACAGCATGGACACAGGTACTGGTGGATGAATGAATGAATATATGGTCAGTCTATGGTGGGACATTACAGTGAAATTATGAGAATGAGGTTCAATCTTTAAAATAATGATCTGTATATGTTTAGCACTACTGGGGTTCTAAACCCCCCAAAGCGTTTTACATCACAACCAGTCATTCACTCATTCACACACTGTTGTAGAACCTTGTAGTTTTAGAGTGATTAGATCTCTCTAATGAATGATTTTTGAAGCCAAGTATAGTTAAAGTCCCAAAGTCATCGTCACACACTGGTGAAGTTACGTCCTGCATTCGACCCGTCCTCATGGGGAGCGGTGAGATGAAGCTGTGGGAACTATTTGGTCTTCTGTCGGGTTTCAGTCACTACGAGAATCAGTCAGAGACAGGAGGTTTTCATCGTGTTCACAACCTACCTTTGTTGTAGCGTCAGTCACGCATCATCATTTGACCAATCACAGTTGGGGAGACAGCCTGCTGCAGACACGACGGCAGCGGCGCTGACAGCCCGTATGACTGCTGTTGCTTCAGCACGTCGCTGTGGTTTAGAGCTTAAAGGCCCAGTGTGTAAAAACATTCGACTCTTCAGCGCCACGCAGTTCAGAGTAAGTATTGCAGCTCCGGTAGCCCACACTAGGGTTGGGCTGTTTTTCCATTCGCCCATCATTAGTCCAGTAAACGACGATGGGCCGTGGTGTGTGCATGTGACTGATTACGGTATGATTCACTGACTGATTTGCGAACACAGAAGAAGTCTAAACATGGATGTTTTTATGGATGTGCAGCACAAATTAGATTTTTCTTTTTGTTTAACTCACTCACTGCCAGCCGTTTCCTGATCAGAAAAGCTCTTCGCTGCCAGCGTTTTTCAGCGTTTTTACAGTTTTTTTAAGAGTCACAGAACGTTGCTCTATGATGATGTCAACGCCAAAACTACCAAAACAAAGAGTAGACTCACCTCTTACAGGTAGAATCCGCGCGTTTTGAGTGTTATCTGTTCTTTCATAAGCCGTTGTTGAATTGTGATCGGCAGAAGCTTTTCCGGTTCTCGCCTCACTTTTTTTTTTACAGCAGCGTCCCAAAACGATCTCCTAACACACACGTGTCAGACACCATGTGGCCCGTGGAGCATTTTTATGTGGCCCGCGAGATAATTATCAAAAATATATTAAAACTGACCCGCTAAGACTACAACTCCCATGATGCTTTGCGGTGTTAGCGCGGAGCCGAAGCGCCCCCTCCTTTGTGTCTTTTCCAGCGTCTGCTGCCGGTGTCTGCAGCTCCGCTGTCTCGGACAAACTAAACACTCCTCTCACTCAGCGCCGAGTTCACTCAGCTATTTTCTGATGTTGAAGCCCAGAAACGGAGATTCTAGCCGCTCAGTAATGTGTTCACGACTGAAAGAGAAAGTTTTCCAGCTAACTTCCAGACAGAGCTGATATAACTCCAGCGAGCAGCGACACGCTCAAACCAGCATGACTCTGTGGCTGCTGTAGTTGTTATTTTTCCTCCCCGACACACAACGACGTGGTCAAGCTGCTCAGACATGTCCAGCAGCACAAACCTATGTGAGCACCTGTTGTCATCTAATGTTGTCGTTATTATGATGAAGATGAACAAAACAACAGGAGTCTCCTCCTCAGCTCAGATCAACCCCATGATGCAGGTATCTGGCTGGAACAGGTGAGCATCACAGTAAACCAGTGGAGCAAACTGAGCTTTAAATATGTTGGTTTGATGCTCTTTTTCTGCTCCAAAACATGAAAGTTAACAGGTGAGATGTTGCATTTTCATTTAAGATAAAATGATATTTTTATTTTGTTGTTGGCCCGTGAGAAAAGATTTAACCTACAGTAAACAGGAAGTGGAAAGGCTGCAGATAGATGAATAGAATAGAAAATCTCTTTATTGTTCTTCAGTGGGGAAAGCTAGAGGTCACAGCAGCGATGACACGTATTACAGGAGAAAAAAGGAGAATAAAAAATAAGAAAAATGAATAAACAACAAGAAAAGAAAAATCCTGAACAGATTTTAAAAATGCTGAATATACCACAAGTAATGAATACCACTGATGCCTTTTATTTAAAACTGACTTGCTCGTGTGTCATTTGGTTATTCCACATTCAGCGTTAATGCAGAAATAAGTTTGTTTCCAAATTAAAAGGTTCTAAATTGCATAAATGTTGATAAAGAAAATGTGCAAATTTGCCGTCACTTTTTCAAAAAATATTAAGTTTGGCCCTCGACTCCGTCCCAGATTTACATTTCGGCCCCGTGTGAGTTTGAGTTTGACTCCCCTGATCTAACACGTGGACTTTCTGCTTCCTGATCACGTGACGTGTGACGTACGCGGATGAAGATCGGCTTTAGAGCTGGGATGTTTGTTCTCGCGGTGCGGGGGCTCGTTCCGACGCCCACACAGTAAAAACATGCCAATGACAGTTAAAGAGTTGTTAAAGCGTTGAAAGGAAGTAGGGCTGAAACGAATCATCAAATGGTTCGATTCATTAAGTTCCTCGATTCATTTTTTACTGATTCGAAGCTTCGTTAAACGTGAGCTCCACAGTCTGAACACGTTTTACTGGAGCTCTACGTGGTGATCTCGGTGCTGTGGTGGAAAAAAGAGAAACCAGCAACGACGGAAACCATCGTTAGAGGCAGAAACGGTCCAACGTTTGGATCAAGAGTTAAACTACAAGCAAACTACTGAATTGGCTGACTGAGTGGAGGTGGTTCATAGATGTCGCAACCTTTATGTCAGAAGGGAACCCCCCCACACACACACACACACACACACACACCTTTTGCTCTTTCCATTGTTCTCAAAGAACTCCATTCCACTTGATTCATTAGAAATGACTCAGTCGGCTGAAGTCCGTTCCACGTTTTCCTGGTTGCTCTGCTGCACGCATGGTGGGCGTGACTGACATGGTTGTCAACAAAGTTAGAAAATAAAAGACCGAACGAACCAAAGTGAAACTACAGGCTTGTGGAAGCTGGAGGAGGAGTCAGTGCCATTCCTATCCCATAATAAGCAGTGTCCTTGTCTGATCCCTCCACAGACACGGGGACATGAGGACATTTCTCACAAAGAAGCATAAAATAAGTAAAACTGTCCAGAATGAATGCTGACAGATGCTTTGAAACCCTCCGTCCCCCAGTTCTGGTTAGAACTGGGTTTGCCCGCGGGTCATCTGGGTGAGGCCACAGAACCTGCAAAGACTCTCAAAAGGTCTGGAAAACGACCGGTTCGGCTGGCTCCGGTGAAGTGGAGACGGTCATACTGGGAAGTTTCGGTAATGGAAACACACCAGTTAGTGCCTGGCTGTCCTATAAAAGACACCCATTCCTCCTTTTTGTGTGAGGATGCCAGCTGGTCCTGTTCCCCTGCAGATAGCTCATCAGTACTTAATACAAGTTGTTTATTGTTTATCTACGTTGGTGTTAGTTTGGGATGTTCTGATCATACCAGCAACACCTGTGTGAACCCTGTGTGATGCACTTGGGCTTCTTCCCCTTTTCCTTCATGCTGTGCAGGACAGCAGCAAAAATGTAAAACAACATGTCCGCCTAACTTTAACTCTGTCTGCGAGAGTGATGTAAGCTTTGAGTCCTGCAATGAAAAGCTCCAGCTCCTGGGGAAGCTGATCACAGCTGGTTTAATAAGATGTGAAGAACAACATCTGGGTGGAGTGAGGTGAGTTTCCAGGGATCGCTGCAGAGATAAACACCTCCCAGTCAGACGCAGCTACGCTCACCAACACCCGTCTGTATGAGCGTCAGAAGGCTCGGCTAATAACCGGACCATAAGGAAGTTCATGATGCTGGAAGAGCAGCCTTTCTCTGTGGTGGAAGAAGAACCAAGTTTATTCATACAGCACGTGTCCCAGACTGAGGTCACACAAGGAGTTACAATAAAACGCTGAACACTAAAGCTAGAACATAAGACAATGAGTAGAAAACAACAGGCTCCGCCCACTGCTCAATCACCAAGTAACCCACTACAGGACATATAATAATAACAACTACAATAATAATCATTATAATAATATAATAACAACAATAAATCTCCCAAAATGCTAATTTGTAAGGTTCCTTTGCTTTGTAGTGCTTTAGCCTGCTGAGAGCTTAAAAGTTAAAGGTTGTTACTGACAGCAGCTACATCTAAGTGTTTATTCATTTTCCTTTTGACTGAATAGTTGCTGATTTGATCTTGGAGACGTTTCTCCTCACATCAGCTTCAGATCTAAAGAATGAGTTGTGAGTAGGTGTTGCGCTGACCTTAGAGGTGTGGCTGCCCCTCTCTATTGTTCCTCATCCTTTCCCTACATGCTGACTCCGTTGCGCGTTGCCAGCGCGTGACCGCAGATGGAACCTGCGTGCGCTCCGGCGCGCGCCTCGCCAGGTGAGCAGAATTGAGGCAGTTAAGAGCTCGTGCTCGGGGGAAATGAAGTACAGCCAAAATGTCTGCAACGAGCTTTTGCCCAGCGCGCGGCAGACTGAGAGGAGTGCAGAGCGAACACAAATGGGTACACTGTGAGGAGGAAGACTTTGATCTTGACGGGCTGTCGGTAAGCTCTTGGATTCACGTCTTTATATGGACTCTTTATCCGTCTGGGTGTGAATGGAATTTACTGAGAGGAAGTGTGTTAACGTCTGGAGTGCCAGAAATGACTGCAGGAATAATAGTAAATTAAATGAAAGCAAGTTAAGGCAGAAAACAGATGTATTCATGTATTTAATTATTTGTCTGGTAAAATCAGTCTTTTTTCATCCTTGCTTCATTGTGAAATGATTCATCTCTGAATTAGGAGCCAGTACTTGTAAAAGCAGATAGAATAGTACTTGTCTAAAACTAGACGCCCAACTGAAGGTTACTAAAGATGCTGGTGTGTTCTCCTTGCTCTGTATTACCTGTAACAGCATTGAAGTTTATCTGCATGATTTAGTTACATGTTTATTTTTGTTATTTAAAGCTTTTCCACCTGACTGGTTCCTGAACCCGGACTGATCTCAGTACTGGTCAAATAAATTGTTCTGAGTGAAATCCAAAGTCTGCTCTTTCCAAGTGTCGGCACCTCACAGTGGAAGAAAACACTTGACAGTAGGAGGCTTAGAAGTTCTGGTCAGAACCAAACACGCTGATTGTGATGGAAGTTTTTATTGATCCTAAAGTAGAAATATGTTTTTATCTAAATGAAGTTCATGTTCTTGTTCCTTTTCCCCACATCATGTAGCCGGTATCACTCGTGGTGTAAATATAAAGGTATGGTGGTGTGTAACATCATGTGTCTGTGTTTCCTACAGATGTTCAACAGCTGGTGCTGGTTAAAGAAGAAGATCCTGAAGAACAGAGGGCTGGTGTGGACCAGCAGGACCCAGAACACCTCCACATAAAGGAGGAACAGGAGGAGCTCTGGACCAGTCTGGAGGGAGAGCATCTCTGTTTGAAGGAGGAGACTGAAGCTGTCGGGTCTCCTGTTACTGCTGTTTCTATAAAGAGTGAGGATGATGAAGAGAAACCTCTGGTCTCACAGCTTCATCAGCAGCAAATAGAAGACAGAGATGTTCCAACCAGCAGCTCAGCTGACCAGATGACCGCAGAAACTGGTGGAGGAGCAGGAACTAGCAGGAACCCAGATCTGAACCCTCATGAACAAACATCTGATTCTTCAGAGACTGAAGTTAGTGGAGATGATGATGATGAAGATGTGAATCGGGACTCTGGGTCTGAAACTGGAGATGAAGATGATGACTGGAATGAGAGCAGGTCTTCTGAGTCAGATGGTAAGTCTGTCAACAAGTTCTTCACAAGTGGTCTCTCCAGAGACACGTGAGGGAGACGAGTCATCCAGCAGTCAGGTCTTCAGGCTGTTTGGTTCATAAGAAATGTGTTAGAGTGAAGCAACATGTAGACTCGTGCAGGAAAGTCCAGAAGAAACCTAAATCATTTAGTCATGATGACTGGAGAAAGGTTTACTACAAATGTAAACAAACAAATCACATGAGAGTCCACACATAGCAGCTGCTGTTCCAGAGTATGGGCCAGCCTCATCCCACCCATACTCTGCTTCTGGCCGCTAACAAGATGGCGCCTGTGTTTGGAATAGCCACAGGTCCGTTTCCACATTCCCGCCTGGCCACAGGGCAGCGCCGTGTCTCCGTCCATGTTTCCTCGGGTCTGTTTATCCTGGTTCTTCAGTGGTTTCCCTTCCTGTTCCCTCCATGAGTGGACTTTACACACCGTGGATCTGACCTGCTAACTCCAGCTGTTTCTGCTTCTGGCAGGATCCTGGTGTAGGTACCCAGGGAGTCCAGATGCTGCAGGATGAAGTGTAGAGCCATGCTGATGGTGTAACGTGATGGAAGTGGTTACTTTTACTGAATGATCAATAAGATGTGATATTCCATCTAATTATAAATGATCAATCTTATTGGTCTTTGAATATTTGATTTAATACGACCTTAGGAACACACACTTCATATTAATTCAGACAGATTCAAGAATATAGTTTATAAAAATGAGTTTAATTCTATATTTCTAAACTAATGATTACATGACTGTTAGGGATTGTATCAATAACCCAATACCTGCAGCTGGAGAGAGAGGAGAGACGATAAGCAAACAAGTCCAGTGTTTCCCCTGGGAACTTTTCTAGCTGTGGCGGGGGGTGGGGGAAAAATTATGACACGTCTCTAAATAAAGTAAAATGTTCTAGTGCAGAGTGGAGACAACCCATAGAAGCACTGATTTGATCTCATTTCAGAGAAAAATAGAACAGGTTAGATGCACCTAACAAATAAAATTATAACAAACTCAGGAATCTGTTTCTTTGCTTCACTGTTCTGGTGCTGAGAACATCACTAATGCGGATCAAAGGAGATACACAGATGAATGCACCTCTTATTTATTATTTGGAGACTACATTTACTGCAGCTGGCAGAGGCAGAGATTTTTTCTATTGATACACGAGTTTACAGAATCATTTTAAATGTTAATAGGGGAAGACTGCAGGAGGGAGCGGTAAAATACAGGGGGTCCCCAGCAAAAACAAGAAACTTTACGAGCCTGATGAAACCCGCTGGTTTTCCATCAGGCAGTCACGGGGCAGCTCCAACGACCCAGTGGCTGTGCTGGGTCAATGTTATCGAGCTCAGTCGAGGCGACGTCGTGCTCTGCTTGAAGAGGTGTTATTTTTCCGCTTCAGAAGAAGCGTCCAACGTGTTTTTACGCTTTCTCTGAGACATGTCACGTCCCTAAGTTGTTAGCGCCGCACGACAACATGTCAATAGTGCAGCGTAGCCTGCTGGAGGTTTTAAGGGTTCAGATGAAAACACCCGACCTCTCAGGCTGCTCACACATCGATCTTAAGTTGTCGCTGTTGCGCTCACACCGTAATACAGTATTAGATGCGGTTAAAGTCAGACATGAAAAAATAAATAAATTTTACATGATGTAGCGTAATGGTTGTTGGCTCTTTTATGAAAGATTATTCTACATAATAATCTGGAATATTAATTTTTAACAAATTAATAACCAAAGGTTATAAAGATAAGAAGACTCAAAGGTTGTTTTCATCGATAAACTGACGATCATATCCATTTGTCTGTGTTTCAGTTCATTGAAAAGGCGAGTTTAAATTTTAAGAGCGTTATTTCTTCAATTTAAACTAACGATTTGAAATGATAATCATAGTAAAAACAATCAACATGGGCAACCTTGTTGGACAATCTTTAACAGTTGATATTTTAAGCTTGCTCAAATAGACCTTGTGTTGGTTGGGCTAAATTTGAGGATGATGGAATTATGAATGCGTGCAGGCAGGTGTCTGAGATTGCTTCAGGGAGAGAGAAGGTGATCTGAGTGAAAAATGATGGTTTGCAATTAAACTTTAGTTCTTATTAGAAAAACAGCATCAGAACGCTATCTATCGTGTTCTGCCTCACCGAACTTAGGACCCCCTTTTAGATCCGGACCTCGGAGGATGTGTTATCCAGATGACACCTTGGCTGGCAGAGAAGACAAAGGTATGCGACGGTCCAGTCCCGGGTTGACCTCGGTACACATTGCTGAAGCGTTTCGGCAGATGCGCTTTCTCATGTTTAAATTAACTCAGAAATCAAAAGACTCTGGGAAGAGCTGGTTGCATTTTAGCTATTCTGTCTGGCTTGACAGAAATAGCGTGGGGGGAGAAAAGAAGCCGGCAGGGCTTCTTTCCCCGTGGCGTTCGTTCCGCACTTCCGCTCTCTTCCGTTCTCACTCTCGTTCTGACTCCTTACCCAAAACACTTCTCTACTGTGACAGCTGCCCTGCTGCCACACTTCAAGCAAATAACTGTTAATGTTTTATTTTGAACAAAGGTGTTTGTTTCCATGGATTGACTGTTTGGGTGACTGTATGAAGTGCACACATTCAGTTACTCATCGGTTTTAGTCTGTAGGGGTTTGTATGATTAATGTTTTCTTTGAGTTGCCAGTGGCCTTGGAGTTGGAGCAGCTGTAGCAGATCACTTGGCCTAATCAGCACCATTGGATCATACCAACTCAAGGGAGAAGATTCCTGTGTTTATGTATTTAGTTATTCTCTTTTGTAAATAATAGTTGGGTTTTGATAGTAATATGTTTTCATTTGAAGTAACTCAAACAGAATGGACTGATTAGTATGAATTTGTTAGCAGTAGTTTATTTATGTTCTTTGTTTACTGATGTCTCCCACCCTATTGTGTTGGCAGTGGTCTGATCAGCCACTATTTAAGTTGATCCTGTTGTGTCTGTAGGAGGTTATTTTTTGTACATGTCTGTAGTCAGATCCTGAGTTTGGGTTACTTTGTTTCTACATCCATTGTCATGTAATGTTAATTGCTGGCTGGAAACCTCTTTGGAGAAAAGAAAAAATAGTAATAAATTAACATGTCAAGAAAATCATCCGTGCTCTGCTGGCTGGTTTATGCAAGTCCCTGACAAGTGGTGGCAGAGGTGCAGTCCTCCTCCAAGGTCGTGAGAATCTGCATCCAGTGGCTTTTATTAGCCGTAAGTTGTTCCCTAGGGAGGTGGAATATTCAACGGTGGAGAAGGAGGCCTTGGCCATTAAATGGGCCTTGGACTCTTTGAAGTTTTACCTGCTTGGCAGAGAATTCACCTTGCAGACAGACCATAAAGCTCTGCAATGGCTGCATCGTATGAGGGACACAAACAGCCGTGTTACTCGGTGGGCCCTTGCACTGCAACCCTTTCGCTTTTTGGTACAGCATGTCCCAGGCAAGGCTAATATGACTGCTGATTATCTTTCCCGCTGGAGCGGGGTAGCTTCTTAAGGAGGGGGGACTGTGACAGCTGCCCTGCTGCCACACTTCAAGCAAATAACTGTTAATGTTTTATTTTGAACAAAGGTGTTTGTTTCCATGGATTGACTGTTTGGGTGACTGTATGAAGTGCACACATTCAGTTACTCATCGGTTTTAGTCTGTAGGGGTTTGTATGATTAATGTTTTCTTTGAGTTGCCAGTGGCCTTGGAGTTGGAGCAGCTGTAGCGGATCACTTGGCCTAATCAGCACCATTGGATCATACCAACTCAAGGGAAAAGATTCCTGTGTTTATGTATTTAGTTATTCTCTTTTGTAAATAATAGTTGGGTTTTGATAGTAATATGTTTTCATTTAAACAAGTCCCTGACATCTTCCCAAAGCAAACTTGTTGTGCGTCAGAGCAAATGTGTTTTGAGTTACTGTGGATACGGACCTGTATGAGCAGGTGTGAAGGTCACTGCTAAACATCTTCAAAAACATTATTTAATTAAGTATTGATTCATTATAGTTCATTATGATTACCCAAAGCATAATAATCATTCATTTGATTAAAGTACATTTATAATGAGCAAAGTGATCAAATGATTATTTAACAAAAATAAAGAAAGCTTAAGACTCTGTTTTATTATGACTAGACTGTGTGTGAAGTCCTTCTTCTGGAGAGCAGGTGTTGGATGTTGTGGATTTCTTCAGACTTGCTGGCGGCTTAGGCCTTAATCTGTGGGTGAAGTTGCTGCTTGACCCAGCTTTTACCCAGCCGGGCAAATACGACCTTTGGCACAGAAACCCATACTTCCTCATGTTACAATGAATAAGTGATGATTAGCCTGGTGGGGGGAGGAAACCCTGTCAAGATCCTCAACGCTCATTTATCTTAATGCTATTGAAACATGTAAACCAAAAAGCATTATATCCACTGCTACCTTTATGCTGTAACTTCACCCTGCCCTGCCTGCTCCTCCTTGCTGCCTGCCGGCTGTGATCACAAGCGACAACATAGTAGTTCCCGCTGCTTCCTCGTGAAACGGCTAAAAAAAATAATTAAATAAAACTTGGGATCTTGTAGGCGTGGCGGTGGGATTTCAGCCATGGCGGGCCGCCACGGCTACGCCTATGTAAGGGAAACCCTGACAACTGTTTATGAAATAACGTTACCTTAATTATTGACATATTTTCCTGGTTTACATTATGTTGTTTGAAACCAAGGGTCTCATTATCTGAACTTTTTAACTTGTTGGATCATGAATCTGTTTAAAAACTTTGCTCTATATCAGGGTTTTTCCTGGCTCAGACTGAGGCAGAGGTGGTACCATCCTGACCGTGCGCCAGCACATGCGTACTCTGTGCATTCAACTGCCTCACTTTTTTAAAGGCTAAATATGTTTTCGTTAAGTGTTCCAATCTAAGCTTCTGGCGATTAATAGAATATTCCATTTAGAGCTGAAACAACTAATCGATTATAATCGATTATTAAAATAGTT